CGGAGACATGTGTAATGGTAAAATATGTACAGAAAAAAACTAGATAAAAGTGATGACGTCGACAATGTGTTCTAATTTTAAATAATTTAAATTCTTCTTCTTTTCTAATGGCTTGACTCTAAAAACGTGTAAAAACTCCTTGAACACTGGTCTTTATACAAATTGAGCCGTGAATCTGTTCGCTGATGTGCATCATGTGAACAGTGAGCTGATCTATCATGTAATCATATCTTACTGTCCATTGTTGATTTAAATTTCTTGTTTCGGTTGTTCGTCACGAGATGGCGTACATTTAAGTCAATTGATTTCTAGATCGCGATATAGAAGTTCGCGGCGAATAACCGACCTCACGCAACGTGTTTTGATTAAATTAACTTCGCTATCACAGAACTCGTGTTTTATTTTGAAAACACCCAGTATTGGCAACGTTCTCCAATGCCGTTGGAGATTTTTGAGGCTGCTTTACACTTACTAATATTATAAATGCAAGTTTAGATGGATGTTTGTTAGAGTTAGGATAACTCTACGGCTAACGGAAACGGATAAACTGATTTCGATGAAATTTAGTATACATGTAGGGGATAATCTGGAAGAACACATAAGCTACTTTTGATCCCGGGAATAGTTACGGTTCCCGTGGGATTATATCATAAAAGCAAAAGTTTAGATGGATGTTTGTTAGAGTTTGTAGCCTAAACGACTGAACGGATTTCAACGAAATTTGGTATAGATTTAGAGGATAGTCTGGAAGGACACATTGGCTATTCACTTTTTTATACCGGGAACGGAGTCGCGGGCGACAGCTAGTTGAATAAAGTAATAAAACCTATTTTAAGTTTCAAAGTAGAGTATGAAATAGAGTCTCAACAAGAAATTAGCTTATTAAAAGTTTTTCATGTAGACTCGACTAACGTATAACATACATTCCCTTGACAAAGTTTGTTTCAAGAAATATTCTATACAAACTGTTTCCGTGCGGCTTTATCCGCATGAAATTATGAAAATTTTATTTCATTGTTTACATTTGACAAATTATTAATAACAAATGTCAAAATGACATGACGACAAACCTTGGCAATCTTGCTTCCTTGATGTTGGCAACAACTTATGGTCTCTTTCCCACATTAGGGTTTTTATCCAAAATATTTACCACCTTAAGATTAATTGTGTGAAAATATGAAGCCTAAAGCGTGACGTAAGTGTAGGGCTTTATATTAAAAAAGAATTATTCAAAAATATGCTGTAATTGCTGACATCTTGGGCAACAAAGAAGTGTGTGTTTACGCTTTATTATAATAATATAGAAGTATAGACTAGCTTTTGTGTTCTTTTAAACTATGTTCTACATATGTGACTTTCATGGAATCCATTAGGCAGTTTTAAATATACGCTGTAACAAACATCCATCCAAAATTTTGTATCTATACTAATATAATAAAGCGTAAACACACACTTCTTTGTTGCCTAAGATGTCGGCAATTACAGCATATTTTTGAATAATTTTTACTTTAATAAAAAGCCCTACACTTACGTCACGTTTTAGGCCATACATTTTCACGCTATTAAACTTAGTGGCAAATAAGTTGGATAAAAACGTTCATGTGGGAAAGGGACCATAAACTACGAGCTGCCAACATCAAGGAAGCTTGATTGACATGATACGCCGTTGTCATTTGTGCATTTGAATTTAGACATTTGAAATTAAGAATTTGACAAATGTAAACAATGAAATAAAGTTTTTTTTAAATTTCATGCGGATGAAGCCGCACGGTAGCAGCTAGTCATACTAATATTATAAATGCGAAAGTTTAGATGGATAGATGTTTATTAGAAAATATCTTCGTAACAGCTTAACAAATGTCGACGAATGTCATAGATGTAAAAAAGTATGGAAGAAACACAGGGTTCTTACTACGTTTTCTAATTATACAAAGACGGAATCACGAGCAAAAGCTAGTAATAACATAAATGCATAGTATAGACGTATGTTAGCGTGTAAATTCAAAAAAATTAATGCATATTGGAACAAAGTCTATTTCACTATATTTTTATTCAACACAGACGACGCCACGGGCAACAGCTAGTGTATTATAAATAGATTAATGCTTATGCCGTGAGCTAAATACTAGGCTCAGATTACCCTAATTTCTTACCTATTATGTTTATACCTCTCATACAATGGCTACATAAAAGACACGAGTTTTATTTGATTTATCTTATTTATTGTTAAAATAAATAAAATTGTTTTAATGCGACGTTCAAAATTGCCAAAAACTTAATTTGAATTTGAATTTCGAATCGTAAGGAAGGATTTATTACTTTTTATTTTTAAAAATAAATTTGTATTGACCAGTATCTTATATTTTGAATATTATATATTTCGTTTAACTTAGAGGAAACAATTGTTTTATTGATGGAAACAAACTCATTTTATTTCGTCAATTACAAACTTTTATAATCTACATTAATTAAATCGATTAAATTCAATAAAAATTAATAACCTTCACCAGTAGTTTATTCTATTAAAATAAAGGTGTTAAAAAACAACACAGAATGTGTTTTCAAACATTAAAATAAATAATTAAATTATAATTTTACTATTTGGCAGAATAACAAAAATGTTATTGCCTTTCGGATGACGGAATTTATAAAATCAAATACTAGTGATGTTCTACTTGCAACTAATTAGATCAATTATCGACATCGTTTAATATATCACATTAACCTATTTAACCTCAAAACTTCACGTGTCAAAATTAAAGACATTTTTTTGCATATAAAATCTTACTTACCATCAATAGGTTTCCTCCTAACCACAGCAACATGAAATTATCAATTTTTCGTCTCATGCATTCTCATTTTAGCATTATAGTACTTATAATTAATCATAATTCACTTAAATTATTATATTACAGTATTTAACACAACCTTACACATTAACTACACAATAGAACACACAAAAACACAATTGTTCTAACTGAACACACGTTATTCAAAGCAATTACAACACACACATCTCTCAACACACATCTTCGCACCAAAGAAGAAGTCCCACTGATTATTTCATGGCAATACATAGACACGGTTATGTAAAATATTATAAATCGAACATAATTATACGATAATATACCTTAGACGCTTAAGTATAAAGTTGAAATTACGATAGATAGTATTGGGACGGCTGTAAACCCACCCCGTATTCGCCTCCATCCCCTAAGCTAAAGGGAAGTCTTTGAAAAACAAAAACTCGTTTCACACGACGCTAACTTTCACTAGTTTTGTTAACATGCTAAATAATATCATTTACGTATAAAATCGAGCTGTAAAACAGAAAAATATGCTGTATTTTTGCCTCATAGCACAATTCCTATTGGATTTTTCCTAGTTATGTTAAAGCTAAAATTATTTTTAAATTTTCTTAATACTCTAACAGGGATCTTAATTTATTTTCATTACTTTCTACTTTATTTTTAAGATCGGTATCCTCTTTTCAATATACTTAAATGTCCCGATATAAATCCCTATCGATTGTGATATCTGAATTCACTGCCATTCCCCTTCTTTCACCTATCCATGCGTGGTTTCGTCGCTTTTTATCGATTTAAAATCATGAATCATTTAACACTGGTAGAGCCCGCTTTAACATCTTCGCACGAATTAGTCGGTTCGCCTCCAGCAATACCACGGCCACATAGAAGACAAGCGTCAAGTGGAAGCAATTCCGCGTTTCGTCTAATGAGTGTGGTGGTAGAAGCCCTACTTTAGTATTCCCACCCATTCAACCCTTTTCTTAAGAGAAAAGAATGGGAAAGAAAATTGGATTTGACTGTGGAGGAGACGCATAGGATGGGGAAATGTGCTCTTTATATCCGTCTCCACCAAAGTCAATTAAGGATAGGCAACGCATCTGCAATTGCGGATGTCTATGGGAAGCGCTAGCTTCGCCATTTCGGCGATTTTAGGCGGCCGTGTGCTCGTTTTCCACGTTATAAAATAAAAAACGTCGTAAACAAATAACAGTTTACACGATAGTTATTTAAACGTTAATTTCGTCACATCACTAAATAATTCAGTGTTGCCTGCTAATAAAACTGGTATTTAATTAAATTGAAGTAATTGTTTTTGTCTTGGATATTTATATAGTTATATGAGATCAGGGTAAATATAACAGAGGATAATAACCAGCCGTTGATGAGGGTTGGATTGACCGCATGCAAATTAGAAAGGGTTCTTTATTAAGCTGCTTTGAATTTTATGAATCATGTAATTTAGTCGACATTTATAAAATTATTATTAGAGTTACGCTTTTTGTTGGTTCAATCTTAAACTCTATTATAATTTGACATTAATAAATAAGATTAAGTTTGTCATTGTATTTGACGTAATTATTGTTTTACGTTTATATAAAAACAATGAGCTTAACTGGATTTACTATGTGAAATCTTCAAAATGCAAACTTCCCCCCAAAAGACAATTCATTTTTTTGTATCCGCCTATTATATTCAAGTAAACCGGGAATAAACAACATGAATAAAATGTAAATAGCAAAGGAACGTGAGATAAGAGTCCATAAAAATAGATACAATATTGAAATCGAGAATATTTTTAACAATGTTTACATAAGATAGTAACTTTATTTAAATTGTAAACCAACTTAATTTAATTTCTATACTAATAAAAAGTTATCGGCAGCTTTCAAAGCAAATTCCAGAAAAAAATGAGAAATCTGACTATACTTTTAATTATGTATTCAAACTCACAATATAGATGGCGCTTTTCTTAAATGTGTAAGTTGTAATGTATTCGAATTAAAAATTACGAAAAGATATTGTTAATTAATAACGTTTTAAGTTATGGGCATAACTTATTAAAATATCCTAAAAACTATTTTATTATAATATTGAAAAAATTGGCACTTTTAGTCTTCAAATTATTACGAATCTATGATACCAAAACAAAACCAAAAGTGTCAAAAGAAATGTCAAAAAAGTAACCTAAAAGGTTTAATGTTACGTATTGTTAAATATTGAAAATTAAATTTAATTACAACAGTAAACTATTATTTTATCATAAATTCATGTAAAAGAATTAGATCAAAACGTTAACTTCACTTTTCAAAATGAATGTAGCCCGTAAAATTTGCACCGTACGTTATCAAAGTATCAAGAGGTTTTCGAGAAAATTTACAATATCTGGTAATCATTGTGAGTCTTCAACTCAACCTCAAGTTAAAGACGAGACATTCGATTTCGAAGACTTGAAAGTCCTAGAACGCGTCGAGCGCCGAAAAGCTGCAATTCCGCCATTCATGAAAAATGTTTTCGTCAGTATTTTCAACCGAGATTTATTAGCTTATCCTGAGATATTAAACAAGGATGAGTCGGAAGCGTTAGATCAGAGAATTTTAGCGCTCGATCGTGTATTTTCCGACCCGGATAAAACAATAGAAGACAGAAAAAATGCGTTAAAAGGAACAAAAATGTACGCAGCTCCAGTTGCGTTAACTAATAATGGTTTGGCGGTCAACCATACAGAGAGTCTGCGTTATTTAGAAACTATAAGTACAGATTTACAGCTTAGCAAGCAAATAAGTGATCATTGGGTTGGATTAAAGGCTTTAAAGATTGGTTTAACAGAGGATTTGTACCAAAAGACTATAGATGATTTAATATCTGGTGATAATACGATAGGCTTGTGTATCAGGGAGAAGGTAGCTGAGAGGATATCACAAGCTGACTTTAGGACTACAGCTGAAGTTGATGAAAGAGGTGAGTAATACCAATTAAAAAAAAATCATAGTAAAACAAGCTTATAGAAATATATGGAAGAGCAGCACATAGTGTGCCGACCCTCTATAAGGAATAAGGGCATGTTGGTGATGAGTAAACCAAGCTTATATTCATATTTTTTCCTTCCTCAACTTTTGGGTAAACCCTAAATGAAACATTCTTCCTCACATATATCTTCATCTTCACATATTTCTTATCTATCTACCTAATCTATACATATAACCAAATTGGAGTGTCTGAATTATCTATAGAAAAATTCCAGATTCCGGGAAGTTTTTTTTTAACAATAATAAATAAAATTATGTTGTAGATTGATGTCTGATAATGAAAATTGCATTTAAATGTTTTTTGTCTGTCCTCAAGCCACTTTTCTTCCAGGTAATCTTAGAAATGTCTGGGCCAATTTCGATCATACTTTCATTGAAGGGTAGCCAACATAGATGGGCATATTATAGGCTACTTTTTATCTTAATATTGCTTTGAAAGTCTGGCAACAGCTAGTGTTTGCCTAAAGTCAGTCCACATTGAGTTTAACTATGGTGTATGAGGTTGTTCATGATAGAAGTTTAAAAGCCTTTTTTATTGTTTTTGTTAATATAAACTACTAATTTCTACCGAGGTACATGTAAAAACAGTTAGTAGTTTAAGTGAAAGAAATAAATTCCCTTTCTCTTTACCACCCTTTTCTTATAAGGAGAGGATGGGAAGGGGAGGTGGATTTGATGGTGGAGGAGATGCATAGGAAGGGGAAATATCCTCTTTTTGTATGTCTCCTCCATCGGATTAGGGTAGGCAACGCATCTGCAATAGCGGATGTCTATGGGCAGCGGCTTCGCCATTTTGGCGGATTCCTGTGGCCTCTTGCTCGTTTGCCACCTAATGATATAAAAAAAAGTGAAATTTGAGGGTGGTCATATAACTTGTACGTCGACCGGCGAACTGTGCGCACCCATTTTGTGAAACTCGTTGTTTTATTTTGCTGCACCACTGCCATCCCTTACAGAGTGACATATTTCGTTATTATTTCAGGTATATGGAGAATATCGGGAGAAAAGATATGTCTGCATAAATCTGAATACTACTTAGTTTTAAGCATAGTTGATACCACTCGTCTTAAGATGTTCTTAGTACATCCCGGAGCTCATGGCGTCAATTATAACGGAACATATGTCACGTTTCTGAAGACACCAGGTATCTTATAAAAGTTTAGATGTATGTTTTACAGTGGTAGAGCCCGCTTTAACATCTTCGCACGGGGCCGGCTCGCCCCCAGTAATACCACGACCACACAGAAGTGGCGTGAAGTAGAAGCAATTCCGCGTACAGTCTGATGTGTGTGGTGCCGGAGGCCTCATTTTATTCTCTTTCCCTTTCCACCCTTTTCTTATGAGGAAAGGATGGGAACGAAAAATAGATTTGCCTTTTGTTTGCGACTTATTGAAAAATATTGAATTTTATTTAAATATGTAGTATATATTTATTTGAATTATTACTAGCTTTTTCCCGCGACTCTCTCGACTAAAAAAAACGAAAGTGAGTAGCCTATGTGTTCTTCCAGACTATTATCTACATCTGTACCAAATTTCACAGAGATCCATTCAGCCGTTTAGGCTACAAACTCTAACAAACATCCATCTCAACTTTCGCATTTATAATATTAGTGTGATTAGTATATATTTACTTGTTTTTTTCCAGCATTACCCCTAGATATGGCTACAGAAGAAAATTTAGCTAAAACACTAGGTGTGTCAAGACTTTACACAGCTTTGCTATGCAGATCTAGTTTACTGCAAGCCGTGAAAACTGTCACTGAGTATTTATCACCTAGGACATTTTCAGGTATTTTTTTTTAATAACTTCTACAAGGGGCTTTGTTGGGAAGCAGTGATAACCCATAACTGGAACCTATATACTCTAACTATTTACTTAATCAGATGGGTAAGCCAGAATAGTGTTTAAGTGACTGCCTTAAACACTATCCTGGCTTTAAGCTATCTGACCCTCTATCGGCCAGTTGTGGGACATGCCATTTTAAATAGTTTATTTGACAGGTAAGCCGATGTCAGAAGTGTCAACGATTCGTTCAGTGATAGGAGATGCGCTTCTTAATATTTACGCGTCAGAAAGTTCTGAATACTTCACAGCTGGTCTTCTAGATGGATACGTGGAGCCTGATGCTGAACTGGAAATGGCTATGTGCAGGTTAACTTGATAACTGTTCTTTTATATCATTCACTTGCCCTTATCCCTTATGGAGGGTCGGCATGATGTGCTGCTCCATACATCTCTATCAGCCATATTTGAATCCACTCCTTTCTTAAGCATATATTTCACACAATCCATACTTTCTTCGGTCTTCCTTTGTAGCCTTCCACATTCATTCTTAACACTTTCCGGTTTATGTCCCCATCGTCTCATAACAATAACTGTTCTTTCAAATGTGAAATTACAAGACAATTCTCATTTAAATTAGCTACCTTCGTGTGAAAGGTCAAAGTACTACCTTTTTTGAGATTACAAGAACACTCAAATAAACAAAAACTTCTTTTTTGTTATAAGCAACATATACATCATGTTTCAAAAATCTTGCTATAGTTTGTCTAAATAAAAGAGATTAGTTTGATAAATGACGCATATGAAGTATCGAATTAAATTTGTATGAAGGCAAATGCCATACCGTAACTATTCTCGGGATAAAAAGTAGCCTATATGTTCTTCCAGACTATGCTCTAAACCTGCGCCAAATTTCATGGAGATCCGTTCAGCCGTTTAGGCTACAAACGCTAACAAACATCCATCCATCTAAACTTTCGCATTTATAATATTAGTAAGATTAGTAAGATTATGTATTTAGTACTTTTTGCACAAATATTAAAATAAGTATATAAAAGTAAGCTTGAAATGCTAAAGTTTGTATGGATGTTTGTTATTACTCCAGAACGGTTTGATGGGTGTTGATGAAATTTGTCATACATGTAGTATAGTCTGGAAGAACACATAGACTATTAAGTTTTTATTTATTACAGACAGCTAGTATTGTATTGTTTTTTTTTTTTTACGAATTTTTTTTGCTCACAAAGTCCACGTGAAATTGAAAAATAGCCTATGTTACTTAGCGATAGTATATCTTTTTAATGGTAAAAGAAGTTTTGGAATCAACCCAGTAGTTTTTGAGTTTATACATACATACAAAAATACAATCTTTATAATATTAGTATAGATGTAATTATGGTTTCTTTAATAAAAAAAAACATTATTTACAGGAATTTTATAGCGGAGAATGGTTTAAACACTTTGTTGAAGTTAATTGCTATACCAAATATTGAAATGAAGGATGAATGTTTACAATTACTGGAGAATATGAGATCTTTGACGTTAACAGGAGAAACTACGGACAGTGTTAATATGTATATTGGTAAGTATATGAAAAAAAATAAAAAAAAATGTAATAATTAAGTATAACAATTCAAACAAAATATACTTCTATATTAACTGATATTTAAAAAAAAAAGTGTTTTACAATATATATTTTTCAATTTATTCATTAAAATCCTAATCATAATAAATTATATTATATTATATTATATTATATTATATTATATTATGTTATATTATATTATATTATAAATGTGAAAGTTTAGATGTATGGATGGATGTTTGTTAGAGTTTGTAGCCTAAACAGCTGAATGGATCTCAATGAAATTGGGCATAAATATAGAGGATAGCCTGTAAGAACATATAGGCTACTTGGTTTTGTTTTTTTATTACCATGCGGACGGAGACGCGGGCGGAAGCTGTTTTAAAATAAATAATAATCCATTCGAGTAAACATCATCCTGTATATTTAATGTATTTTTTAGCATTAAATGGAATACATCACGCGGGTAAAATGTTGTCTCAAGAAATCAAACAAATCAGAAACCCGCTTTTCAACCCGACATTTATATTGAAAAAGATTCTCGCAGACAGACATCAGGTAAATATATATACTAATATAATAAAGCGTAAACACACTTCTTTGTTGCCTAAGATGTCAGCAATTACAACAAATTTTTGAATAATTCTTTCTTTAATAAGTAGCCTTACACTTATGTCACGCTTTAGGATATATATTTTCACGCTATTAAACTTAGGGGGTAAATAAATTAGAAAAACCTATAAGCACAAGCTGACATAACGGTAATTGTTAAATGTCAAAGGCCTTTGTTATTTCTGTATTAAAATTTGACATTTGCAATTGAAAATGAGACAAATGTAAAGAGTAATTTTTTTTAATTTCATGCGGAAAAGCCACATGGGAATAACTAATTATATACACTATGTATAATAAATATACATCATCAGCACCAGCTCACTATGTCCCCAATGAGGGGCTCGGAGCCTACCCTAAGGGTGACTAGGCCATAGTCAACCTGCACTGCGGGTTGACTTCACACATATCTTTGAATTTCTTCACAGATATGTGCATCACAATGTTTTCCTTCACCGTAAGAACGTCGGGTAAATTATGTACATATGAAAATTCGAAAAATGGAAAATCACATTGGTGGCGGGATTCGAACCCAAGACCTGTAGATTACAAGTCAAGTGTTCAAACTACTGAGCCACCGACGCTCTCAAGTATACAAAGCAATTGTATAAAATAAAAAAAACATGTATTTAATTAAAATTTAGTAACAAATTAAAAAAAAATCACAAAAAATATTACCCAACTTCAAAAAAATCTTAAAAAAATATATTTTTTTTAATTTAAAATTAAAAATTAACAGTCTAGGTCATTTTAGGAGAAAGACGACCCTAAACTAAATCTATACCTAGCAGAACATTTGCACCCCTCATTACGCGCCCCCTCACAGCAGTTAGAATACTGCGTGCTAAGGATGAAGTTTTCTTGCGAAACTCTCATGAGTAGACACGGGATGGATGTTAGTGAAGCTTTTACGTGAGTATTTTTTAGGAAAAAAAATAACAAGTAAAAAATATACATTGATGTTGCACGCGACTGTGCTCGTGGGAAAAAATGTAAAGAACTGAGTACCTCCTTTTGAAATCAAAAAAAAATAATAAAAAATGAATCCTATATTACTTAATAATAACGTAGCTTTTTAATGGTGGAATAATTTTTGAAATTGGCTTGGAAATTTTTAAATTTGAAATTAGTTTTTGAGTTATTTCAATAAATACAAATGTTTCCTCTTTATAATATTAGTATTGGCTAGCTGTTGCTTGCGATTTCACCTGAGTGATATTAAAAAAGTAATAAAAAACATGGCCTATGTTACTCAGTTATAAGGTAGTTTTTTGATGGTGAAAGAATTTTTGAATTCGTCCCAGTAGTTTTTAAGTTATTCCAATACATACAAAAACACAAATCTTTCTTCTTTAAAATATCAGTATAGATAAAAACAATATGTTCTAGATAAGTATATTTTAGTGAAAGGAAAGATTTGTAATTTTGTTTGTAACGAAATAACTCAAAAACTACTGGGCCAATTTTAAAAATTCTTTCACCATTAAATACGTAGCTATTATCAGTGAGTAACATAGACTATGTTTAATTTTCACGCGGACGAAGTCGCGAGTAGAGCTAGTAATTCATAAAACAACCTGTATATTGTTTTAGTTGAAGATAGAATTATAAAAAAATAATTGAATATATTATATTTCAGAGAATTAAATAGGATGGCAGAAGCGGGCAGTGAGATATTAGCTATGACCGCAGTATTGGCTAGAGCATCAAGGTAAGAAATACAATATAAATGAATATAAATGAAATCTTTTGATTAAGAAAACATGAACACCCTGTTCATGTTTTCTTAATCAAAAAATTTCATTTTATAACATTAAGGTCTAGTCCAACCAAATAGTATTGTCTGATAACACTCCAACGTGATGTGATGGATATCGGATTTTGTTCCCTCTAACAGTGACGTCATTAAGCTATCTGAGCCTCTATCAGCCAGTTTTGGGACAGGGCTAATAATCTTACTAATATCGGATGTTTGTTAGAGTTTGTAGCCTAAACTGCTTAAATTTTGATGAAATTTGGCTTGAATGTAGAGGATAGTCTGGAAACTTTTTTTTTTAATTCGACGCGGACGCAGTCGCGGGCGAAATCTAGTAATAAAAAACTTACGTTTTCAGAGCATACTGTATAGGTTTAAGGAATGCTGAAGTTGAGATGAAATTGGCCGCTTGTTTTGTCGAAAGCTCTAAAGATAGGGTGAAGAAATTGTTACGCGAAGTAAACGACGGGGAGTTCTTGAATCTGGACAGATTTAAGACGACCTTCGGTAAGAAGGTTCTAGAGACGAAGTCGGTGTTGGCGGAAAAACCTACCGCGAGAGTGTTTTGGTAGGAAAAGTAATGCAAAAAAAAATTGGTAGGTTTTGGTAGATTTTCCAAATTTGGTAGGTTTTGGTAGAAAGTTACCGAAATGAATTTCATTGTTTTGACAGGTTTTCTACCGAAATTTGCCAGGAAGATATTTTTTTCTATACAGAAATGTACCAATATAGCTTTAGTAACAAAACCTACTAAAATATGCAATAATTGTTTTCTGCTTAAACAATTTTGTAGCATAGTAAATTTTTTGGTAGGAAACATCTATAAAATTGTTTTGGTAGGAAAAATCTACCAAATTGAATTAGACTGTCGCATTTCAAATCCACGTTAAGATTGATTTAAAACACTTATGAATGTTATAAATAAGTTTTTTTGTTGAATTAAATGTTTATTAAAATGAATGAATTTTATTTTTTCCCTTATTCTGCCAAAAAAAAAAATTTCGGAAGGGAATAAAAAATAAAACACAAGAAATTTCCTTAATTTCGCTTTATTTGAAATACAAATATTCTGCAAATGTCTAATTTGTGCATAAAACAACGAAATCACTCAGATTTCTATTTAATAAAAAAAGAAATTAAAAAACAAACAACAATTTATTTCCTCGTTCTAAAACTATAACCTCTAAATACTGACAGCCTTACAAATAAACGCGGTATGAAGTTAAACTTAGTAATAAACTGAGTACCAGTTTTAAGGTATGGCGCCTCGGGCGACATAAAGGGCGCCTCAGGCGACATTAAGGGCGCCCTGGGATGACATAATGGGCGCCCTGGGACGACATAATGGGCGCCCTGGGGCGACATAAAGGGCGCCCATTTATGCAGTATTCTATTAAGGGGCGCCATAAAACCAGCCCTGTCTAAACTAAAATACTAAAGGGTTTTGCTAATGCATCAAAAATAAAATTACAGTAAAAACCCCTAAATAGCGACCACATCTTAAATTACAAATAAAATATAATTTTTTTCATTTCTACAAGCGATTTTTAACAAACTACGATACAAACTCATTCTTAGGCAAAACATTAATAAAAGAAACCTTTCCTGTGACAGGTTTGAATTTATCACCAATAGTAACATTTTTAATATTAACTTTTCTTAATCTGGCAACACTATTCGATTTCTTTTTAATTTTCTTCGGCGGGAATGTCTTGTCTATGGCCTCGATTTGATGCTTTTTGTTTTTTTCTTTCCTCTTATAGTAGAATACTTCCCACGCTAAAGTTATCATTGCTAAGCCAAGACCGAACAAAGTCGCTATGAAGACACCACCTTAAATATAAGAAAATGATGACAAGTTAACGTCCCTTACCAGTTAATCACTGAGGGTGACCCTTAGTGGCTGAAATATAGCCCATATGTATAGAAAACGAGTGTAAAATAGATATATAACAGTATCAGATGACATAAGAGAAAGCGACCATCGGTATTGGCCAAAATAGCAAGGCGTCAACAATCCACAGATATTCAGATACGTTACCCTAAAATTAACAGTATTACATAAAGAGGACACTTCCACTTCCAAATCCTCATCCCATTCCCAACCTTTTCTTGTATCTACGAAAAGGGACCAATAAAAGAATGCGACACATATCTGACTAACTTTTGCCCGCGAAACCTTCGCGCAATAAGCATTTGCAGACTATCCTCTACATCTATTCATCAGTTTTGGCTACAAACTCTAACATACATCCAAACATTCGCATTTATATTCAGTAAGTTTAAAGAAATAATTACCTAAACTTTCTAAAGTAATTCCTTCGGACTCATCCGCATCGGGGCACATTTGTCGTGCTGTCTCATTCCAATACCTAAAATAGCACATAAAGTCCATCATTCACTTAGGTCTTTTTCCTTTTTTTGACCGACTTCCCAAAAGAAGGAGGTACTCAATTCGTCTGTATGTTTTTTTTATGTGTGTTACGGCATAACCCCGCCGCCAGTGGACCGATTTTGATAATTCATTTTTTATCCGAAAGGTAATGCTTGCAGGTGGGTCCAATTTTTTTGTTTGATTTTTGGAGTCAAAGACTACAACGTAGTTAAATAGTTTAGCTCAAAATCGCGCGACGAAATTTTTATAATATAAGGTGGCAAACGAGCAAGCGGCCACCTGAATCCGCCAAAATGTCGAAGCGACCGCTGCCCATAGACATCCGCAATTGCAGAAGCGTTACCTAACCTTAATAAACGGAGAAGACGCAGATAAAGAGGACATTTCACGTTCCTATGCGTTACCACCGTCAAATCCATTTCCCCTTCCCATCCTCTATAAGAAAAGGATGGTAAAGAGAACGGGACTTAAATTAGGCCTCCGGAAACCATCTTGAAACTTACTTAGCAGCCAATTGTTCTAGAAACCTCTCCTTCTGTAGCTGCAGCAGTGCCCTTGATAAATCTTCTTGCAGCCGCGATCCTTGCTGCACCGCGAGCGCATATGGCTGCTCAGCAAATACCTCGCCTACTGCTGTCAGGTTGCAGTTCCGCGTCACCTCGTATCTGACTCGAAGGACCAGTTACTTAAGATTTACAACCTTTTCTAATTACAGTAGAACCTCGATAACTCAAACTGGTAACATGAAAACTCATAACTTCAAAAAAATATGTCCCCTTCCCATCAGAGCCCAAAACCTCTATAACATGGACCCTTGATAACTTAAAACCTCTATAACTTTAAATATTTTGTGTTTCCCTTGGACTTTAACTTATCAAGCTTCTACTGTACTTCTAAATTTTAATCACCTCTGAAATAGTGTGGAAATAAATAGTACGAGGGTGAATCAAAAAATTCTTGGAATCAATATGAAAAAATGCAAAGATTTAAATAATAATATTTTATTTTTCTACATAATCTCCCTCCAATGCGAAATTTAGAATAACGCGTTTCTAACTTCCTTATTCCTTGTGAAAAAAAAAATATTTTCTTGACTCTCGAAAAAGTCCTCTACGGCAGCTGTAACCGTGTCATTATCGTGAAATTTTGTTCCGCGAATTTCCTCTTTTAATTTTGGAAATAAGTGAAAATCACTTGGGGCTAAGTCCGGAGAATATGGTGGGTGGTAAGAAGATTGAAGCCAGCACAGCACCGCACGTAACTCACTTTTATCCATAATTTTGACTTTTTAGCAACTCGTTGCACAAAAAAATTTTTTACATGCGAACGAACTGACAAAAACAAGTGACAGTGTGCATAAATATAGTGTGTGTGTGTGTGTGTGTGATAGACACTCTTTAATTTGAATATCGAACTTGATCCAAAAAGGTTTCATATATATGTACTTCTAAGAACTTTTTGATTCACCCTCGTAAGTAAAAGAACACACTTTATTTCCGCGGAATCATGTATGAAAGCGAAATCTGCTTCCGTGTGCTCGTTGACTTGTTGGAAACCAGTTTTCGCATCTACTACTGGACCTGAAATACCAATGATTTATACTTATTCAAAGTAATCTGTGTGTTTGTGTGCAAGAAACTCAAAAACTATTGAACATAATTTAAAAAATCATTGTTAGAACGCTACATTATCCCAAAATGACATATCATCATACTAATATTATAAATGCGAAAGTTTAGATGGATGTTTGTTAGCCTTTTTAGCCTAAACCGCTGAACGAATCTCTATGAAATTTGGCACAGATGTAGAGCATAGTCTGGAAGAACACATAGGCTACTTTTTATCCCGGGAAAAGTTATGGTTCCCGTGGGATTCATTAATTTTGTATTTTAATGTTTACTCAATCATTCTGCAACGGTTCAACATATCTTATTGAAATTTGGCACAGATATAAATCAAAGTTTGGAGTACACATGGGATAAGCTTCATCCCCGAGAAATGTCCGATTCCTGAGGGATACGTAGATTGTTATTTATATAGTTCGTATGTTTTTTAATACCACGCGGACGAAGTCGCGGGCAGCAGTCAATAAAACTTACCAGAAGCGTTAATAGCTAGTAAAATATGTCCATATTGCTCGCGAATGGGATAATCCCATACTCTGTATTGGGCTTGATCCGAACTGGCGTTCAAAGTTATCTCCTTCCAAACTCTGTACAAATACAATAAATATGAGAAATTGTAACAAAACTCTACAAACAGATTTATCTTACTAATATTATAAATGCGAAAGTTTAGATGGATGTTTGTTAGAGTTTGTAGCCTAAACGGTTGAACGGATCTCGATGAAATTTCATAGATGGTGAGGATCGTTTGAAAGAACACATAGGCTTTTTTGTTAGGAAAAGGGGGGTTTATATCTTTGGAAAGACATATCAATCCCAAAGTGATACTCTAAGGGTTTAACGAGCTGGCTTAATCGTACAACCGCTTCAACTCCCGGAGTTAAGTTGAGTTTCACCTCCCGGAAAAGTAGCTCGCGCATCCGTCTGTTTCCCTCACATTCCAACAAATGTTGGATATCTTCTGGCTTTCTGCATATCTCGCAATTAGGCGACAGGATTTTCCTCATCATATATCCAAAATTCACTGTTGGATAGTGGCCAGAACGTAATCTTAGCGCTGCGCATAGGCTACTTGATTTTGTTTTTTTAATTCCACGAACAGTCGCGGGCGAAAGCTAGTATGTTTTTAAAGTTTAAAATCACTTAAAATATACCTGTATAATGTATCTTCAGCAAACTTCATATTAATAAAGTATTGATGTACATTAGAGGACTCTACAACCGTGTAGTTGATACGCGATTGGCGCGCCAACTGCTCTAATGAGGATACCGGCGTCTGTACGAAGATATACTATTTTATAGTTATCTATACTATTATAATAAAGCGTAAACACACTTCTTTTTTACCTAAGATGTCAGCAATTACAGCATTTTTGAATAATTCTTTTTTTAATAAAAACCCCTACACTTACGTCACGCTTTAGGCTATATAGTTTCACACTATTAAACTTAGGGGGTAAATATTTTGAATAAAATCCCCAATGTGGGAAAAAGGCCATAAGTTGTTGGCAACATCAAGGAAGCATAATTGCCATGCTTTGTCATCATGTCATGTCATTTTGACATCGCAATTGAATTTGACAAATGTAATCAATTTCACGCGAATGAAGTCACACGGGAACAGCTAATGTACTATAAAAGAGCGTCGGTGGCTCAGTGGTTTAGGCACTTGACTTGTCTACAGATCTTGGGTTCGAATCCCGGCACCAATGTGATTTTCGATTTTTCATATGTACATAATTTACCCGACGTTCTTACGGCGAAGGAAAACATCGTGATGCAACCTGCACTATCGGCGAAGAAATTCAAAGATATGTGTGAAGTCAACCCGCAGTGCAGGTTAACTATGGTCTAGTCACCCTTAGGGTAGGTTCTGAGCCTTTCAATGGGGACATAGTGAGCTGGTGATGATTATAGCTACATATATATATATATATATATATATATATAGAAGCATTATCATATATTTAAAAAAAACTAGTTAAACAGGTATGACACTCGAGGGAAATACCAATCAAATGACTATTCATTCATCCACAGTTCAGTAACACATTAGAAAAAAAACCATCGTCTGAGTCTCAGTCTCAGGATAGTAACTTATTTTTAATCTTTGACGTGAGTTATAGAGCGCTTTGGACTATACTATCGAACAACTGTTTAGTCTCGCTTCGATTCTTACAAGGTTATATGGAGGTATAACTCGATTTTTAGTTCAACTAAACAATTGAGGCCGCGAAATCGATAATCGCATAACAATTGTGCGATAGGTTATTTATTTATTTATAGAAATGCTAACAACACAGAATAAAATAAATATACATATAGTAGACTCAGTTAAAATATAAATCTGCTTCATTTATAGACAAACACAACATTCATAGATAAAAAAGGAACAATGCAAATTTTTAATAAGTTACCTTACATCTAAGAAGTTATAGTTTGTCTAAATAATTTAGATTAGTTTGACAATTCACTTCAAATTTAGTAGGGATGGGTTGTGTAATCAGTCATGAATCTTATCGATTTTCGATTTTTATTCTTATAGAAGTTGGAATCGATAGATTTATAGTTATAACTTATGAAATAAAAAAAAACACTGTTTTCTCAAAATAATAATGACCATAACAAATAATGAGAGTAAATAAATGTTTATTATTACTACAGCCGTACGTAATCAAATTGAATTTCGCTATTATTTCTGTCATCGCTAAATTCTCTACACTATAATCAATACTAGAATTGTCCTATAAATTAGTTAATAAGAAAATAGTAATTATAGTTGAGTTCGATAATTATTTAAACCGAATATCGATAGTTCAAAATTGTTCGCTTTGTGTTTGTTTCGTCACTACGATACCTGTCTATTAAGTATGGCATTTACCTTCATACAAATTGAATTCGATACTTCATATGCGTCATTTATCAAACTAATCTATCTTATTTAGACAAACTATAAAATCAGTCTTTCATTCAAATAAAACAAATGAAATAATAGTCTTAACAATGATTCATTGTCACGTTCTTGAACCTAGTGTGCGAGCGAGAGAACGATAGTGAAAGAGAGGTACGATAGTCCTTAGAGTAAAATTACCATAACTCATACTATTTCTAACTGTTACCTGCATCCTCTCTACGGTGAGGAACGCAGCCAGATTGGCGGTAAATGTAGCCAGCATGAGAACCACAAACAGCCAATATGCGGCCACCAGAGTCCGGCCTGATAGCGCCTTGGGCGCTTCGCCCCCGCCTTGCGGAGTGAACGATGTCAACGCGAACCAGAAACTCTCCTTTAATGTAAACTCCCTATATAAAAGTACTTGATGTTACGTTTCTAAAGAGAATGACCATAAACAAAAATTTGGTATTTATAATGTTGATTTATTTTTAGGTTAACAACAATAAGTAACCCTTTTTTCTGGTAATAAATCCCCATGTAATCTAACTACTAATATTATAAAGAGGAAACATTTGTATTTTTGTATGTATAACTCAAAAACTACTGGGTTAATTTTAAAAATTATTTCACCATTAGAAAGGTAATTTATCTGTGAGTAACAAAGGCTATGTTATTCTTATTTTTTAATTTTCCGGGGACGAAGACGCGAGTAACAGCTAGTCTGTACTAATATTATAAAGAGGAAAAATTTGTATTTTTGTATGTATAATGACTCAAAAACTACTGGGATAATTTTGAAAACTCTTTCACCATTAGAAAATAAATTATTATCTGTGAGTAACAAAGGCTATGTTTATTATTATTTTTTAATTCCACGGGCATGTATTCGAGAGGAACAGTTAGTAAGAGAAAGAGTAGTCTTGGTAACATCTAAATGAAATAGAGATATATTAGGAGAAGTATTATTCTGCGTTTTTCTCTCTCTCGCAGTGAGACAGCCAACCTACTCACCTGCAAGGATAAGGGTAGGCTTCAGGGTTATTCCTTGCGGAATAAGGGGAATACTTCTCCAATAACCAGATCATGACCCCTGTCAGTATCAACGCCGCGACAATACTGAGCCACACTTCAGTGCGTAACACCGTCATGAACTTAAACAGAGATGTCTTACGTATTGGTTTGCGGATCGCTGGAAGAAATTGTTAATTAAGGCTTGTTTGAGGATATTTTATGGGAGGTAGTTTGTTTTCTAGATTTAAGTTTGTTCAAACCTATTATGCACCTACAGTGGTAAAGTCCGCTTTAACATCTTAGCACTGCAGGGCCGGCTCGCCCCCAGTAATACCACGACCACACAAAAGACAGGCGTGAAGTGAAAGCAATTCCGCGTACACTCTGATGAGTGTAGTGCCGGACGCCCTACTTTAATCCCTTTTCTTTCCACCCTTTTTTCTTATAAGAAATGAATGAAGGGAACGTGGATTTAACGGTGAAGGAAACGCATAGGAAGGGGAAATATATATGTGCGTCTCCTTCTTTGTTAATTAAGGGTAGGCAACGCAGTCGCTTCGATTTCAGGTGGCCGCTTGCTCGTTTGCCACCTTATGATATAAAAAAAATGTTTGTTCCTACCTATCTATAGAACAGCTTATAGGATCTCAGTGAAATTTTGCATATGTAACGAGAAAACTCAAAAACTATTAAATCGATTTCTAAAATTCTTTCAATGTTCGATAGCTACATTATCACTAAGTGACATAGGATATCTGTAACAAATATTATTGTTGTTTTCTGACGTAGAAAGTAAATTTTCAGAGTTCACAGAAGCGATCGTCCAAAAGGCAAACAACACTAGTAATCATTGAGGCAGAAGTATTAAAAAAAACTTACTTATTAAGATCCCCGTTTGTTCAAAGTACGGTGCGACAAAATCGATAACTTCCTCTCTTTCTGCCGTCATAGTGAAAGCTGCGACGGCTATATCTGTTTCCTATAAAAATGTAGCAAACATTAATTTAGTACTTCGGTATTTTAACAATAACTATAATAAACAAAGCTACACATGTTTAGTTCTGATAATCTTAACTAAACAATCTAAAAGCCTGTCCCATCACTGGCTGATAGAGCGTCAGATAGATTAAAATGACGCCACTGTCAGATAAGGTAACATAATCCGATATTTCCATCACACTTTACACGTTGGATCAGACAATTTATAACTTGGTGAGGCAGGCCATAACTCTTCAGTCAAAACTCTGTGTATTCAGACAATATTTTAACTGTCTTAATTTTTAAACTGAAAATTTCGTCTCGCCTTAAAGAACTTGATACTACTAAAATTAAGCTATTCGTTTTTTTTTTAGGGGAATGTTAAAATGTAGCTTATAATAGATATATGTGAAATTCTTTGATTCAAAAAATATAAAAACTCACTCCCGTCATCAAATCGCCTATAAGTCCGTCCCACGACCCGTTACGAAGTCTCTGTCCGAAGCCACCGGATTTAGGAGTTACTATCTCATAGTCAAAGTCCATTGTCTAAAAATAAATAACAGTGCTAACTAAATGGTAGAGCCCGCTTTAACATCTTCGAACTGTAGGGCTCACCCCAGCAATACCACGACCATACAGACAGACGTGAAGTTGAAGCAATTCCGCGTACAGTCTGATCAGTGTGATGCCGGAGGCCTAATTAAAGTCCCTTTTTCTTCCCACTCTTTTCTTATAAGAAAAAGATGGAAAGGGAAAGTGGATTTGACGGTGGAGGAGACGCATAAGAAGGGAAAATGTCCTCTTTTTGTGCGTCTCCTCCGTCTATTAAGGGTAGGCAACGCTTCTGCAATTGCGGATGTCTATGGGCATCGTCGTTTTAGCGGTTTCAGGTGGCCGCGTACTCGTTTGCCACCTTATATTATTAAAAAAACTAATTGGTTATTTGTATTTCTGAAAATAAAATACCGCGAATTTCCTCGACTGTACCTCCACATTTGTATTTAAATATTCTTCGCACATACTATTCTTTCTTACCTGTGCAAGTTTCTCTATTAGATCGATACAATATCCTTCATATAAGATGTTGCCCTCTTCGTCCAACATAACCTTTCCAGTTGAGTCCAGCTTCTTCATAGTCCATGGTATAGCCTGGTAATTTTTTTACTTGCTTTTGTATGTAAAATTTTTAGTTAAATTAGAACTAAAGAAACATAACAGCTAATAAAAACAATCTTTTACCCACGACTCAGTCCGCGCGGAAATAAGAATAAAACCTAGTAAGTTGTCTATGCTCTTTTATAGAGTAACAGACATCTATCCTTACTTTCGTATAGTTATATTATATATTACCGCGACTCTGTCCGCGTGGAGTTAAAAAAATAAAACTGGGTAGCCTATGTGTTATTCAAGACTATCCTCTACGTGTATGCCAAATTTCATGGAAATCCGTTCAGCTGTTTAAGCTACATACTCTAACAAACATCCATCCGTCTAAACTTTCGCATTTATAATATTAGTAAGAAGTACGTATTTTCGACCTCGAATTGACCAATCAGACACATTTGTCAACTCACAGGCGCTGTTCCTATCCTGTAGAATGTCCTGATCGGTTCCAGTACAGCATCAGGTAACAGCTTGTACTCTTCATCAGCTGACCAGCTCGCTACCGTCTCTGATACTCCAGGTTTCGCAGAAGATAGTATAAATCGAGATCTTATGAGAAGGCTGGATCTGTATAGGAATTATTAAATAGCTTTCGCCTGCGACTCTGTTCGCGTGAAATAAGAAGAAGCAAGAGTAAGTAGCCTATGTGTTCTTACAGACCATCCTCTACATCTTTGCCAAATTTCATCTAGATCCATTCAGCAGTTTAGGCTACAAACTCTAACAAACATTAAAGAAATTCATAGATGTTGTGAAGTCAAGCAGCGTGGTTAACTATGACCTAGTCATTAACTTAAGATAGGGTCCGAGCCTCTCACTTACCTTTCGCCATTCCAAAAGAACAAACTATCATTCCCGTACGTCTCCGCAGACAGTAGCTCATAAAATCCATCATCTGTCTTTTCTTTGCTAGATTCATCACATCTTATAACAGAAGGAGAACTATCCGGTACCTTCCTGAATATGTCTACTAGGAATTGCAGAAGATTGTTAAGGATGTACTGCTTCCTCTAGAAGATAATGTGGAAATACACTGGTTGTTGAAAAATCAGAGGAAATACAAATTGAGTGACGGATGGGGAGAGGCAGCTAACCTCCCCTGGTTACGACCATGGGTTAGCATGTGAGGTAGGTAGAGGGTAGAAGGGTCATCACCCTCCTATCTCCTACCACCCCTCAACTATAGATATTTACCGGAAAACCCTCAGGGCAGACGCAGGTGTCCAGAGCTAGCAGTTTACAGCACTCTGTAGCATCCAGGTGTAAGATAACAGCTGGAAGTACCAGCTGTGTCACATCGAAGTGACCTGTGTAGTCTGTGATGACGAGGTTCCAACGATACTCTCGTAGTACTAGCTTCTCTTTTACCGCCTACGATAAGGAATTATTAATTTGAAGGATTTAACAAACAAAAATCCAATTTCACTAATGTATTATTTAAAGGAATACGAACAAAAAGCAAAACAAAAAAATGGGACCCACCTGCAAGCACTACCTTTCGGATATAAAAGAATTATCAAAATCGGTCCACTAGCGGCGGAGTTATGCCGTGACACACATAAAAAACATACAGACGAATTGGGTACTCTTTCTTTTGGGAAGTCGGTCAAAAAAGTAACTTCACTCTATTCAATCGTTTTGCAAAAGGCGTGAAAAATTCACTGCTAAATCAAGGGGACAATAAAATCATTCGTTATTGTACGTGTTTGGAGGAAGGTTGCTCATTGCACGGCTGATTGTATTTTTGCCCGACATCCCAAAAGAATGCGGTACTCACATCGTCCGTATGTTTTTTTATATGTGTTACGGCATAACTTCGCCCCTGGTAGACCGATTTTGAAAAATCTTTTCTAATCCGAGAGGTAGTGCTTGCAGGTCGGTCCCATTTTTTTTTTATTTTTAAAGTCAAAGACTATAGCGTAGTTAAATAGTTTAACCCAAATCGCGTTACGAATTGGGGTATTTTTTGCTTACTTTGCTTATTTACTATTATCCCGTCGTTTGCGCAACTAACTGTTACCTAATTGCATATTAGTGAGGCGGAATTTATCTCATTTCAACAAAGCAATACTGAAAGTGGCTCACCGCGGATTTTTTTTTATAACATAAGGTGGCAAACGAGCAAGCGGCCTTCTGAATCTGCCAAAATGGCGAAGAGACCGCTGCCCATAGACATCCGCAATTGCAGATGCGTTGCCTACCCGTATCCGACAGAAGAGGAGACGCACATAAAGAGAACATTTCCCCATCCTATGCTTCTCCTCCACCGTCAAATCCACTTTCCCTTCCCTCTCCTTATAAGAAAAGGGTGGTAAAGAGAAAGGGACTTAAATTAGGTCTCCGGCACCACACTCATCAGACGAAACACGGAATTGCTTCCATTTCACGCCTGTCTTCTGTGTGGTCGTGGTATTACTGGGGGCGTGCCGGCCCTGCAGTGCTAAGATGTTAAAGCGGGCACTACTACTGTTAAAATTGCTTAACTGTATTTAAAAATCTGTAATACGATATACTTACTCGTCTATATGTGTTTCTAACGAAACCACTGTCACCAATTATAGCAAAGAAGCTCGGCTCCGGTCTCATAGATCTTAGCATTTCAGCTGACTCTGTTGTAAGACCCGCGTGCACCCAAACACGTATATGAGACCGGCCTAATAACTCGTATAATGTTCTGTCTACATCTGTAATAGTAAACTATGGTTAGTCAAACATAGTCGTGCAAACACTTTCAACTCAACTGTCGCACAATAGGGAATATGCATGTATTTTTTCTTTTTTTAAACGATTCTACTTGTTATAAAATAACCAGAAAAAAAATGACGCGAAAATATTCAACCATTGAGCTAAAAATAATAAAATAAAATTACGACCATTTTAGAGCGACTAAAACGCGACCGGAATTGTCAATAGACAATTGACGTCAATCGTCTATTCCATTCATAACATACGCTCAGATGTCACTTCGACGTAAAACACAAGTTTCTCAAGGTCAAAAAGTCAACAATCGATTCATTTTTATTATTCCTGATACAAATAAGTGGTAATTAATAATTTTATTCATTAATTTTTTATTTTAAAGTTGGTTTTGATATCGTTTTTACAGTAAAATACTTCAAGAGTGTATTTCTATATAAACTAACGTAAATGAACTGTGTATTAACAACACAACGACGCCATATTAGATAAGCCACTTGCTTCGACCAATAGTGTGCGTTTTAAAACTTAGCGAGAGAATTTAAAAAAGACACTTTTTAATGATTAAATTTTGCCACTAAATTACATTATATTTAAAAAAAAATCTTTGCAGTACTGTTTTTATAGTAATAAAGTATACTTAAAAAAAGTTTGGTACAATTTGGCGTCATATGCATATTGCCTATTGCTTAATCTCGCTTTGATTCATATAAGCTTATATGGAGGTGTGCCCACTAGATTGTCAGTTGTGCAACTAAACAGTCGCATTGGCTGCGAAACAATCGACAATCGCACAACAGTTTTGATATTTTTGTACGATTGTCGGTTGGAACGGATGAAGGAGACTATGTGACAGAAATGCGAATGTTAAGATGGATGTGTAGGTTACACGATTCGATAAGATACGAAATGAGTATATTAGAGGAAGTTTGAGAGTAGCCCCCGTAGTAGAGAAGGTAAGGAGTAAAAGGTTAGCATGTTATGAGGAGGGATGAATCGCATGTTACAAAGAGAACGTTAGTTATGAGTGTGGAAGGGTACATCGGTAGAGGTAGACCTAGAAAGAAATGGATGGATTGTGTAAAAGGTGACATGATCAAAAAGGGAGTGACTGAGATGACGTATGATAGAGTTATGTGGAGGACAAAAACCTGTTGCGCCGCTACGGGAGTAGGATAAGGAGATTATGATGATGATGTCGATTGTTTCGCAGCCTTCAACTGTTTAGTTTCACAACTAACAGTCGAGTAGTGTACCTCGTAAGGTCATAGGAATCAAAACGAGACTGAACAATTATGCGATAGATCAAAGGTGTGCTCACGCTCTAATTGTCGTAAACACTAGCGACACACCTTCGCATCCAATGCTGATACGAAAATGTGTTTAAACACTTCCTGTTGCTCGCGACTTCGCCCCCGTGAATTTTAAAAAATAGCCTGTTACTCACTGATAGCTTTCTAATGGTGAAATCGAGCCAATAGTTTTTGAGTTATTCCATAACTTAATCCTACTCCATGCTAATACGAATGCGAAATTTTAGATGGATGGATATTTGTTAGAGTTTGTAACCTAAACGACTGAACGGATTTCGATGAAATTTGGCATAGATATGTATTTAGTCTGGAAGAACAAATAGGCTACTCATTTGTTTTTTTTTTTAATTCCACGCGGAAATTATCGCGGGCAAAAACTAGTATTAATATAGATTAGAAACATTTAAAATCATTCGTTTATACGCTACCATTTTCATTCTCCAATAGTAAAGCCGCGTCAGTCGCATTCCTAGATTCCAAATAACCATCAAGGGCTGTCACTAATTGCTGCGAAGACAAGGACGTACGTAGTACTGGTATACCGAGCTGATCCACCATCTCCCATGGAGACCAGGACACGTCGATAATAATGGTAACTCCTTTAGCGAGAGCGGAACATACTGGAAAATAAGGTGATTTTAGTGAATGTCGGATGTGACTCAGAGGCATAAATTTCGTCAAATTCTTTAGGAAAGGATGGGAAGGGAAAGGATTCAACAGTGTAGGAGACGCATAGGACTCTTTATGGCAAATACGGATGTTCTTGGGCAACGGTTACTCGTCGGAATCAAGTGGCCGCTTGCTTTTTCACACCCATAAGATTAAAAAAGTAATAAAAAACTAACATTTCCTATAACTTTCTTCTTCATTCTCTCTGTCCAGTTGTATTATAGCATCGCTAAGCTGTACATCCGGTTTTGCTTGCTCCGTCGCTTTAATGGCAACACCAATTTGCGCGGGAAGATCAAATTCATGATTCTCTACTATAAATACTGCAAGAAAATAGGAAATAAGTGTTCTGTGCAACAAATTATGATTTTATTATGTTTTAATAATCTTTTGTTTTTTTTTTAACGCCGTCTAATTTTGTACAGTTAACATTATATGTTATGTTAGTGTCTGTTAATTTCACGACGTCCATGTTCATAAACAATAATACCAATTAGACAAATGTATTTAAAAGTTGTGCCAAAGTTGCTTTAAAATATACAAATTTACGTATACTCACTGAATCTTAAACTTATTTCAGATATAACACAGTCCAAATTGAAGAATATAATAACCAATAAACAATTTAGCGCCATCTTTAATATCTGTCACATGAACGACAGTTGCACTCTCTAACTTTGCTTATTAAAATTGCAGAAATATATTCTTGCAATAAATAAGGTATGAACAACGTTAGAAATAAATAAAAAATCACTCTCAATTTTTCCAACATAACACGTGTTTATTTTTGTATCTGTGAAATTATTTCGGCATGAAAATAACCAAACTTTTGACAATTGCTAAAATATGTCTGCTGCTTGCGAGTTGAAACCGAAAGGTTTAACCAACTTAATAATTGATTAAACAAAGGATGAACGATGCTTACCGATATTGGTTACGATGTATTATTCAAGATTCTTGAGGTACAGTCGCGAGTAAAAATGTTTAAAAGCAATATTTTTATTTATTTTCAACGATATAAATATTTTATCTCTCAAACACACATGGAGATGTTATAAAAATTCTATAATATGTAGGTAAATATGTGAAATTACAATGTTTCATAGCTGTAATATCGTTGTCTCTGTTTATTCCATAGATGAAGAAAGAGACGACTATCTTTTTTTGTATTTCGACACAAAAATTAATATACTAATATTATAAAGAGGATAGATTTTTATTTTTGTATGTATTGAAAAAACTACTGGGCCGATTTTAAAAATTCTTTCACTATTAAAAAGTTATATTATCACTGAGTAAAATGTGCTATATGTTTTTTTAATTTCACGCAGACGTAGTCGTAACAGATTGTAAAAAATAAAATCCACTTAAACTTTTTCTTCGTACCTGTACTTAATCAAACATTAACCAATGTAGTTTCAAAGTGCTTGTTATGATTTTCAAAGACAATAAACGTGAGAGTTCGAACATATGTTAACATCACGCAAACCCTTACAATGTGCATTTCATGAATTATTTCATAGCTTTGACTTTGACTATTAAGAAAACAGGATCTGTCGACCATATTTGGATTCTTATTAAACCCACTTTATATTTTTTTATTAATTTTACAGTGGTAGTGCCCGCTTTAACATCATAGCACGAATGTAATACCACGACCACACAGAAGACAGGCGTGAAATGGAAGCAATTCCGTGTTTCGTCTGATGAGTGTGGGGTTGTAGGCCTAATATAAATCCCTTTCTCTTTACCACCCGTTTCTTATAAGGAGAGGATGAGAAGAGGAAGTGGTTTTGACGGTGGAGGAGATGCATAGGAAGGAAATATCCTCTTTGAGTGCGTCTCCTCCTCCGTCAGATAAGGGTAGGCAACGCATCTGCAATTGCGGATGTCTATGGGCAGCGGTCCCTTCGCTAATTTGGCGGATTCAGGTGGCCGCTTGCTCGTTTGCCACCATATGATATAATAAAAAAAACCTCCTAAAAGGTCCTCAATTCGACTATACATTTTGTATGACGATGGATGTTTGTTTAGTCCATTTTTATAATCAAAGATACATGGAAGCTCCAAGAAATGAAAACATAGATTTTCCTTTCAGAATATCCGCTTCCTGGTATCTCCTACAATTATTCACTATCTGAGAACGCCGCCGGATCTTCGTCAGACCTCTGGGGTCTATCTGGAATTAATAGCTAAGAACTTATTCTACTCTTCTCAAGTTTCTAGTAACGTTGGATCAGTCTAGTTAAGACTAGCTGTTGCTCGGGACGTCGTCCGTTTGTAATTAAAAAATATAGCCTATGTTATAACTGAGATAATGAACTGATTTGAAAATCAGCCCAAGTTTTTGAGTTTTTTTCAATACGTATAATAATAAAAATCCTTTCTCTATAATCTTACTTCTTACTAATATGATATATGCGAAAGTTTAGACGGATGTTTGTTAGTGTAGTCTAAACTGCTGAATAGATTTTGACGAAATTTGACATGTAGAGGATAGTCTGGAAGAACACATAGGTTACTTGTTTATATGAAACCCACGCGGACGGAGTCGCGTGCGAAATCTTGTATTAGTATAGATGCAAACCTTTTAACTTACAGAGATGTCTACGTCCAAGTTACTTCCAGTTAGCTATGTTCGTCTCGTTTACGGCTTTCAAAAATATATTTTTTCAAACTTAAGGATTTTGAAATAAAACAACTCATGTTAATATATAATAACTATTTATGTAAGTATATAAACATTAAATTGATAAGAAAAAAAAATAATTCATTTACCTAACTCACAAAAAATGAAGGAAAAAAAATTATACCTTAAAAACATACCTCACACTACACATATTTTTTTATTAATAATAAAATAAAAACCTTTTAAATTATTTATTTTTTAATTAATCTGTTTAAAAAATGTCAAATACCTCCTTCAATGTTACGCTAACACTTATAGCTATTTTTATTTAACGCTGCGGTTTATTTTACAATTTTTGGGTCCGTTTAGTGTAAATTTTACTAAAAAATCGATATATTTATATATTTTTTTTCTTTTAGACGCCTAAAACACGCAAGTCCAAACGTAGTTACGCTACCAAATTTTATTTACATATTTTTTTATAAAAACAGAATTTAAATTTAACCGTTCATCGAGATTCCAAAAATCTTTAGATATTCCGCTAACCACTAAATGAACCCAAACTTGCGCAGTTTTGGACTAAAGGCCCAATATAACTTAAAGCCTAGTTTTCCAAATCTCGCTAAGTAATATACTAATTTATACAGATTTCCATACACCTCGAGAAAAAATATATCCTAAGCTACAATAAAAGATACCGGAGATAAAAAAAAAGTTACACATCGGTATAAAAATTCTGTCAATATTTTTTTTAAATAGCGCGCGCAAACATGGCGGACATTTAAAAACTGAAGTTTTTTTTATCATATTGTAATAAATATTAATAGAATCTTGAATAAATGCGAATTCCGATTTTCGAGGAATTTACTAACCGGCAAAATTCAATCGCGAATCGGAACTGGTGATAACCGGTTTTTGAAATGACGCATCACTAGTCGGATGAAAAAAAATCATCTAGTACGAAATACTCAACTGATATAATTTTCGGCATATATTTATATAAAAACTTTACCAATACCATGCTAAGTAAATCCAGTCTAAAATATTTTTTTTTTCATATATTAAACCGTTTATTAAGAATTTACATTATGATCTAACAATAACCAAATTCTATTACAATCATATGTCCAGAGCTGTTCACATAAATCATTTAAAAAAAAGGAAAAAACAACATAAAAAATCTCTCATGATTTTAAAATCTCGTTTATTTATAAAAAATCGATATTTTTCATCTATACCATAGATAACTTGGTAGCTGTCACTGTCAATTGGCGCCAAAACGAAAACACGGTTAGGCGGAAAATGAAAAAAAAATTAGGAACATTAAAACTTAAAATACGCTAAATAATTTAATGAAACTGGAAGAATGTCGTTAAAAAACATGTGTTTTTTAATTAAAAAACTGTCCCAAAACAGTAGTACGAATTTTTTTTCTGGCCAGTGACAAAAAAGACAAGAGCCATCTCGTAATTTTCAAGATTTTTTTAATCAACGCAAACGTCACTCTTTAGCCAGAAAACCAGATAAAAAAATTGAAAAAAAATGAATTTTTTGACAGTCAGTTTTATTGCACCAGCTTAATAATTTCACCGCATAATTCTCATTTATTTTTCACTTGTATTAAACAAGTATAGAAAATCATTTAAAAAGATCAGAAGGACGCAACATGCATCAAACTTTTTTTGTAAAAAAAAAACAAATGTCAACGAATGTCAAAATTCAATTCACAATATTTCTTTTTAATAATTTCATTCGCAATAAAAATATAGCTAAAAAATAAAATAATACATAAAAATATAAGCAAAAGAATACCTTTACACTATTTTGTCGCCTTTATTTTGTAATCTGACGTTTTTCATCGTGTAACCGACAAAATTATCTGTCCCGGTATGTGACATTTTTCAACAGCTAAGACCGCACAAACATTTGACTAAACTATCGCACAACTGTTTTCTCGCTTTGATTATGAGCGTATATGGGTACACTACTCGATTGTTAGTTGTGCAACTAAAAGGTTGGCTGCGAAACAATCGACAATCGCACAACCGTCGTGCGATAGTTTAGTCAAGTGTGCGTGCTTTTAAGCGCCACCTATCAATGTCAAAATGTCACAAGATCCTTGTAAGCTGTCATGATTTAGGTTTCACATATTTTCTGACAGAACAGCGATAAGTCTTACCGGGCCAAATAAGTCCATCGTGCTATTAAACCAATATTAATAATTCTATGGACAAATGGTAGGTTTATTTTTAAAACTGTAAAAAAAACAGTTAAGATTTTAAATAAAATAACGTAAAAAACATTCCATTTTAGCGAGAAATGTCAAACTGACAGCAGTAGTGATGTTCCGATGTCATATCGATAGTAACCGATGAAAAACGTCACCGAAAACCGATAATTAGCAACATTAACATAAAATTAAAATCTAATAAATATTTTTTTTTATTTACCGATTGACCGAGCCGAAGATTATATGAAGACGCTATCAGATCGTAAGATTCGTCCAGCCCGCCAAGATTTTTTACGTAATCTTGAGATCATGAGAATACTTTTTTTTTTAAATAAACGAATAGTTTATCCCTTATTCCAAATGAAAGCCTAATTATTGTAAACAATAAAAACTTACTGCCCCATTTAGAAATGAATTACGTGATTTTTTGGCTCCGCTTATAAAAAAAAAAACAATTTTTCGCCAGAAAATTGCATTTGTTTCGAGTAATATCCGAAACGGCACCGATTGTTAGTAGTCACACGAAAGTAGTGACATATACGAGAATTAGAGCTTATCCCACCACTGGCTGATAGAGGCTCAGATAGCTTAAAAATGACATCACTGTAACAAGGTAACAAAATCCGATATTCCCATTACATATTTTACACGTTGGATTATCAGACAATTTACAACTTGGTGGGACAGGCCCTAAGACTACTTTTTGATCTGACAAAATCGCAGATAACCGTTAGTTTTGAATATCTGAGAGACTATTAGTTTTAATTCGTTCAGAATTAAGCGTTCATTTGGTCTGGAATACGAGGATATTTCAGTTTATTTGGCAAGTTGGCGGGCTGTCCGTTTCGCTCATTGCATAAAGTAATCAGGATGATCTGGGTCCTTTTCGAACCGTTTCGCCTCTTCCTGCATGCTTTCCTTTATTTTCAGTATCGCTGCTGATTCCGTCTGGTCATTTTGATCGCCGCCCGGACCACCGAAACCTAAGGAAAAAGATTATATAAATTCATAAAATATATACGAAAAGAAAAAATATACCACAAAAAACTATAAACATACGACTTTTCTCAAAATGTCTTATACGGTTCTCTACAATGACATTTTTCCGTCATAATTTTAACTGAAATGCCCTTCTTCCTACACAAGTCTTCTATAAAATTCAAGTTTTTTTGATCTGTAGAATAGTTAAGTCTGTAACTATCAGATAAACTTACTTAAGTTGTAATCACCCATTCCTGATCCAGAGTCCTCTCTGGGAGTCCCCGGCCCCCCGCCGCCGACGCCCCCCGGGGACGACTTCATGCCATCCACTCCGCCCAGCCCTGGCATACATTACATGCTTTATACCTGCCAATTGGGCACTAGCCGGACCATAGACATTAAGGGCCTGTCCCACAACTGGCTGATAGAGGCTCAGATAGCTAATGACGTCACTTTCAGATAAGGTAATTAAATCAGATATTTTCATCATATATTTTACACGTCTTATATCAGACAATTTACAATTTAGTGGGACAGGCCCTAATTATTCTATTTTGTTTTTTTTTAATTAACACGAACATTGCCGCTAACTCCTATACTAAGTCCAAAATATCATCTAAGATTTATTGGCACGGAACGTGTTAAGTCTACAGATTATAGAATAAACATAAATATGTTTTTAGATTTTTTTTAAATATTTTTAAGATTTTTTCGGTAATAAAACCGGTACATCGATAAATGAAAGTCCCTACTCTATTTTATTGCATCACATATCTCATTTCGTTGCTCGTATTAAACATTTCCCTACATTTCTGTAATTTTATACATTCACAATTAATTTTTTATTTGACATTTTAATCGGTTTTTAAATTCAATAATCTGTAGACGTTAGTAAGGATCGATTTATATCTATACAAGTCTAGCACAACAACAGAAAACTTTCTGTACGGTGTACAAAAAAAATGAAGTTATTTCCCAGGACCTTTTTTGATCACAGTACACATGACATTCGACGATAGAATTAAGTTATTGTGCATGCTTATTTAAAGGGTGTTCAAATATTATTTAACCATACTTGAAAATAATAGCATAAAAAATTGCAAAAAATCATGACTTAAGGGATCTAAAAAATTTTTAATAATTGAACATCCTTTATTCGTGTTATTTACAAATGCTGTGATATTAATGCAGTGAATAGAGCCTTTAAAAGTCTTTGTATACTTAAAATCATTTATTTTCTCTAAACAAATGAAAATACATGGACACAAATTGAGAAAAAAATAAAAAATATAGATACACTTAATTTTTTTTTATAACATGTTAGTTTTTTTTAACTTTACTTAATTAAGAGGCATTTTGCTTCATTCTCCTTAAATATCCGTGAATATGTACACAGGGTGTTTATGAATTCTTCGTTTAAATATGTTTACACGTCTTGAAGATTTTTTACTATTGAATAAAATATTTTGGACATTTTTTTTCTAACAATTACAAACTATACATGTATTTTACACTGTACATGGAGGTTAAATAAAAAATTCAACATAGTATGATGTCAATTTTATATTTTCGAATATATTTATAAAAAAACGTGCGAAAAATCTTTTTTTTCTTTTTACTTGGTTTCTATTATAGTTATACCCCAAACCAGACTATGTAAACATACTTTTATACACAAAAAATACAATTTTAGCTGCCTACTCCTAATAGAAAAAATGTAAAAAAATAAATAATACAAACACAATCTTTACTCGTTAAAAAAGCACCGTCCAGTTATATACATAATTTCATCTGTCAAAAACACCAAAAGACTAAATAGAATGACGCAGTGACACGTGCTTAAGAAAATATCTGTGCCGAAGTGTTTGTTATATTTTTTAATCTGTGCCGAAGGTGTACAAGTGTGGCGCACCTTCGGCGGCGGGCGGCTGCGGCAGGTGCGGCGGCGCGGGCCCGTGCTCGCCGGCGAGCGGGAACTCCGACCCTAGGGCTCCGCCCCCCACCGGCTTCATCAGTGTGTACATGTTGTCACCGCCTGTCGCGTTATACCGACCGATCACAATTCAATATCAACTTATCACACCCCGCCCAAAAAATTGACATGTTGACGATTTACGGCCAGTGTTTATGCCTTTTTTAAACATGTCGATTTACACACGTAACGCCAACAATCAGAAGTCATAAAACCTAAGTAAAAAAATCTAATCTGAATTTACATTTTAAACCCGAAAAAATACATTTTTTAAGCTCCGTGTCGATTCTACGTAATTTTTATTTAGTCTTTGGTAATTGGTTTTGGATCCGGTGCCGTTTTGCGAGTAGAGATGTGTCAAATGCCGCCATTTTAGAAGAAAACGTCATATGTGGAAGTGCTGCCCTCTAGCGAGGAATGATATCGTTTTATGACTTCCGACCGGGAGCGATGGTCGACTTCCCAACTAGAAACCAAAACAATCGAAATAATCTCGTTTTTGAAAAAGTAACACCATTTTTTTTTCAATTACAAAAAGCCCTAACGACCCTGAAAATCAACAACGAACGCAATTTTTTTCTAATCGTAAACCAGCAACGGAAACCATAATTTTAACGCAATTCAGTTTCAAATATAACAAAAATGGCATGATTTACGAAAATACCGCGTTTTTTTTATTTTTGCAGTTTTCATATCTAGTTGGGAGGTCATCTTAACAATTAAAATTAATACAATAACTAAGAGAAAAGTATTAGTGACATAAAAAGCGGGAAAAAAGAACCCCAAAGCGTCACGAAACAGAGTTAAGCGAGAATGAAGCAAGAACCAAAGGAAAAGAAAAGGCAACATTGAAGACAAAAAAAGTTATTTTTTTCTTAAATAAAAATTACCAAGAAGGCCATTTTATAACAAACTTGCATCTATATTTTTTACATATAATTTGAAAGCTAATGGAATTTTTAAGACAAAAAAATATTCTAATATTTTTGACTAAGTATGCATAACGCTGTCCATGTCAACATTTTGACAAAATTAAAAATTTTTTTCAAATTTTTTCAACCGTTAAATGTATCTTAGGGTTGTTTGTATTGAAAAAAAACTATCAGATTATTTTAAAAAATCTATATTTAATTTAGTTACATGAAAAAAAAATAATAACTACAATTACAACAATACAACAAAATCCAAAAAAAAATTAAAGATGCAAGTTTGTATCACAATTCGTTACAACGCCCTCTATCGGAAATAATATGCAAAAAATACCTTTCAAATTAGTGATGTTATTGTTTACTCCTGCGAAATGTCTAAATTAAAATAATTAAAAAAAAACGGACGGACATAGCTCAGCTTAACACTAAAATTTCATATTATCAGTGAAAATGTATGATATTCTATTAAAAAAAAAATCTTAAACTAATCAATTAAAAAAACTATCTACAGTATTAAAAAATTACAAGAGATCATTTACTTTAACATCAAACAAATTGAATAAAAACTACAAAAAAAATATTTAATTCAAACAACAAACTACCACTAGTCTGAATTCCTAAACAAAAAAAATCATAGAATTTCATACAATTCTCACCAAAAAAGGTTACTATTTTTTTCAATACTACGAACACAATAACATAATTTGAGACTTGTGACGTCACGAATCACATAAAATTCGTAACAAAACCAACACATTGAATGCTGGCATTTGGTGGCTTTTATATAAAAAGCGTTAAAAACGTTATCTTTACTTCGATTTTTCAATTTCTACATTTATCAATTAATTAAAAAAAAATCACTTTTGTCATTCATTTTGTGACGGCGGCCATATTGAATATTACATAGTATACCCTACTCTAATCGACAGGTTATTTCATTTAATATCTGTTTGGAAGTTATGCAAAAAACCATTAACATGTAGTCCGCCATTTTGTGGAGTCGTCCATTTTGAATTTTCCATAGTTTACCGTACATATAAACCCTAAGCAAGGTAATAGACTTTAAAAACCTCCCCCTTGACAGCCAAAAGTTCCATAAAAATCTTGTCCGAACACAAATATCTCAAATTAACGTAACTTAGATAAAACAGTCTTAATAAGCCAGATAAGTTACAGTTTAAAATACTTATGTTACTGTGGTCGTTAAAAAAATAGTAACCATTGCACAAAGTTACTCACCTGAGTTGGAAGAATCTTGAGGGCTGGGCATAATTGGTGTAGGTGGTCCGGGCGGACCGTTGGAGCCCGGCGGCGCTCCGTACGCGCCAGGCGAGCCCCCGCTGTAGTTTAGGGGTGCTGCGCCCCCACCACCTCCGCCCCCGGACCACGCACTACGCGGCCCCATGCCCATCGGTGGCATGCCTGTGTGTTAATACAGGGATCAAGTTATATTGGTTAATAGAGCAAAGAGTAGGATGTGGTTTTTTGGCTCCTTAAGAGTGGCTGTTGCTAAATTTACTTTTTAAATATATTAATAAATCGAGTTTATATGTTTATTAAGCATGATCTTTAGTTTAGGTAATACATATTTTGTGTAAGTAAATGTTTACAAGCCAACCTGCCTGCTAATTATTTTCAATAATTTTAATGTTGTTATTTGGCTCTTTTGGCTTTGGCTTAATTATGCAAATAATGAAATTGAAATATCTTCACAAACATGTGCCATCACGATTTTTTTCTTACAATACGAACGTCGGATAAATTATGTACATATAAAAATCGAAAATGACAAGTCAGGATTCAATACTAACGCATCTAATAAAAGCGTAAACACACACTACTTTGTGGCGTAGGATGTCAGCAATCACAGTGTATATTTGAATAATTTTTTCCTTAATAAAAAGCCCTATTTATACGACATGCTTTAGGCTACATATTTTCACGCTACTAATTTTTTTTTTTATAAAAATTTGAGAAATATAAACAATAAAATAAAAATTATAAATTCATGTGGATGAAGCCACGTGAGAACAGCGGTATGTTTCTGTGGGTTTCTTGATATTTACCTGGTCCTTGCGGCGGCGGACCGCGCATCCCCGCAGCGTACGCGCCCGGGCTCATTGGCCCGCAGCCGGGACGGGGCGGAGTCATACGCGGCCCGCCCAACAGCGCCGCGCCCCCGCCCCCGCCGCGCTCAAGAGAATTACCCATCATACCTTGACCTGTGTACAATAAAACCATCGGTAAGTCAACTAAACTTGACCTACCTACCTCCTGATGTGAAGATCTCAAAGATCCGAAGTTTCAAGGTTTTATTTTAATACTAGCTGTTGCCCGATACTTTGTCCGCGTGGTATTAGGAATCATACGTACTATATAAATAACAAAAAGCTACGTATCCCTCGGATATTTCTCGGGGATGAACCTTATCCCATGTGTACTGAAGACTTTGCTTTATATCGCCAAATTTCAATAAGAAATGTTGAACCATTGCAGAATGATCGAGTAAATAATAAAAACTAAAATCATGAATCCCAAGGGAACTCTAACTATTCCTGGGATAAAAAGTAGCCTATGTGTTCTTCCAGACTATGCTCTATACATGTGCCAAATTTCTTGGAGATCTGTTCAGCAGTTTAAGCTACAAACGCTAACAAACATCCATACATCCATCGTAACTTTCGCATTTATAATATTTATATGATATATATAATATAGTGAGTGAGTGAGCGAGTGACAATAATGTCTTTAAAAAGTGACAGTGCCCCGGGATGGGATAATATATCAACAAGATTTTTAAAAGTAGCAAAAGAAGTAGTTTCACC